AGAAGGGGGGGGGGGGGGGGGGGGGGGGGGGAAGGGGTTGAAGGCCTTGAAGGGATAGAAAGCCTTTCAAAAATGGTATTCGCTTTACTTCATCGAAAACTTCATGGGAATCTCGCCGTCGTCGACAACCTCCATATCTCGTGAGCCGGTACGATCCATTTTCGAAAGAGGTGAACGTAGTGTCATGGGGTGGATTTTTCAACAGAGAATCATCCCACGATGAAGCTTTTATTCCAGGGAAAATACATGATGTTTCCTGGAAATAAAGCTGCACCATCGGATCGTTCTCTGTTCGAAAATCCAGCCGTGGTTTCCGTATCGCGGTCCGTGTCCACGACACCCGCCGGTTCCGTCGCTTCTTCGTTTGTTTTCTGCCTCGTTGGACCCATCGACGGTGATCGTCACGGCCGCAGGTGGGAGACGCGATCCCCGAACGAGAGAAGAAGCGCCGCAGCCGGACCGTCCCGAACGTGGACGACCCGCAGACGGCTTTCGACGTCGTCGTCAAGTCGAGACGGGAGAAGGAGGTCGGCGGCCCGGTCGCGGTCGCGGTCGATCCGGATGCGGCCAGACCGGGGGCGACCCAGACGGGCGCGGCGATGCGAAGGGAACTGGCGAAGAGGATCCCGCCGCTGCATCGCATGAGTCGGGAGGAAATCTTTCGACTCCTTCGGGATTCCATCATCTACGACGAAAGTGAGTCTTCTTTCCGTCCTTCGAGAGTCTCGCGGAACTCGGGGAGAGCGAGCGGTTTCCTCGACGAACGCGATTCCTTGCTCTTTCGTGATGCCGGAGGAGAAAACGACCGACGGATGCCGCTGTTCTCTGTGCTTCGCGAAAACGTTCCGTCTTCCTCGCGACTCGAAGGTTCGTTTCAAAAGGGCAGTTCGGTTCCGGTTCCGGTTCGGTTTTTTCAACTCGAGTCGGACCTACCCCGAGGCAACCGTCTCGATGGGAAGGCCAAGATGATAAATATATACGTCTCGATTTCCTCTTCCTCCGAGTCGAAGTTGGTGCTGCTCGATTTTCCTCGTCGTGTCACGGTGGAACGAGGACGTTACTTGCATCTGCCGTTCGCGAACCGTGGCTACGAAGCATCCCGCATGCGATTAAGTCCCAAAGCGGCGACGCATGCGGCGGAACACGTGCCCGATGACGAACCGAATCGTAAATATGACACCGATCTGTGGCCGGCCTCGAACCGTTTATATCGATAACGTACGAGGAAGTCAAGAACGAGTCGACGAGAAGTCGGACTACGACCGACTGCAATCGAACGGAAAGGAAACCGAAGCGAGTGGCAACTGCCGTCTCACCGTCGTCCAACTACGGTCGAACGGGAACCGGAGAACGATTTCGAAATCTCGGTCCGTTCAAAGTCCGGTCGTGGTTCCGGTCGACTGCAACTGCAACCGAACCGGGACCGTCTTAGGACGATGGTTCGACTGCAACCGAACTGCGGCTTCGAAATCGACCTTTAAAGTCCTAGGTTCGAATCGGTACGCGCGGTCGCGTTCGCGTCTCGTCTCCGGGTCCCAGCTCTCGTCCGGCGGTACGGTACGACGAGCTGCCCCTCTCGACGTCCATTTCTTCGTGGGAGCACGTCTCTCTGCTGCGGGACGATGACCCGAGTCGCTCTCGAGCCGGTTTCTCCGTCGCAGTGGAATCGGAAACACCTACCCTGCCGCACTTCGATACCTCCGACGTGCATCTGCCTGGATGAGACCCCCTCGATGAGGTCCTCCCTTCCCGATCGCGTGCATTTGCCTGGACGAGGTCTTCTTTCGGGGGAAAGGACTCCGGAGGCGTGAGGTACTCGGTACTTCCTTTCGGATGGGGGTGGCCCACCCCTGCGTCCCTTCTCTTTGCAGACCTCGGAGACGGAACGCAACGTTCGGGGCGGAGTCGGACCGACGACGACGACGAGTCGCGACCGATGCGAGGAATCGTACGTCTCGTTTCGTGGAATCGCAGGAGGCGTTTTTCTCGGTCGACTCGCTCGAGAGCCGAAAATCCCCGAGGGGCCCGTCCCGTTCTCTTTCCCCGAGACGGAGAAACCGATTTTCGCGTCGTCGACGAATTACCGATTTTACTCGCGAGGCCTTCGTGCGAGTCGTTAAGGTTAACGAGAGCCAGGGACGAACGAAGCCCCGGGGGAGTCGAGGGACTCGGGGGGACGCTTACCCGGTTTCCAATTACTCCGAACTCTCTTTCGGCGACCGGTCGCTCGTCCGGTGACTCTCCCACCCTCGAATCCCGTGCGCCTCCGGCCGACGAAAGCATTCCCACGTCGAGGAAACGGACGGAATTTGGAGGGGGCTGGGTTCGCCCGAACGATCGCCGGGCGGCTCGAGGTCTCGAGAAATCGCCACCCGTGCCGCGAGGCTCGTAGCGACGCGAAGAATAGCGGACGCGTCGTCGATCGACGATCGACGCCGGACGTGAACTCTAGTGGCGGTCGTGCGTCGACGGACGCGGACGTGCAACGAGCCGGGTCTCGCGTGTTGCGAGCCGCAAAGCGACCGTCTCCTTTGCCCGAGCGAGCGGCATCGGTCCCCAAAGCTCTTTTTTCTCTTCAGGGAAAAGGCGGCTCGAAATCGACCAGAAAGTCTCGAGTCGTCCGAAGAGTTCTCGTCGAGAAAGGGGTCGACTCGTCGATTCCACCGACCGAATGACGGCTGGACGCGATCGCCTCGTCTCTTCTCTGTCGTGCCGGACGGATCGTCCGGCACGACGATCGTTCGCGGACGTCCTCCTCCACGGGTGCGACGGATCGGCCGGACTCGTTTGCATCTCGAATGCGGAATGCCGCTCGTTCCTCGGAACCTCGGTGCGAGTCTGTCGCTTGCGGGGACCGTTGCGAAGTCGATTTCGATGCGGGAATCCCATTCGGCGAAGCGGTGCGGCACGTCGTGCCGCGGTCGTGGCATCGGGCTTCGTGTCGGTCGCACGGCTCGGGGAACGCGAGAGTACCCGTTTTTCCTCGTCCGACCGCTGCACGACGACGATTCGCCGGTGCTACGGTCTCGAAGCGAGCGTCGCCGGACGCCGCACGAGCCTTCGGCCCGGATACGGAGCCGTGAAAGCTCTCGTACCGAGGTTCGAGAGAACGGGAGACGTTCGGGACGTCGAGTGGCCCCGGCGACCCGTCGTACCCGTCGGGCACGACCGAGGGAAACACGGACGGTGTCTTCCCATCTGCACGAAGCAGAAGTGGGTGGCCCAGGCGGTGTACTTATTTCCGTTCCGTTCGGGACGTGTTCGCGCGGACTCGTTCGCCTTTAGGAGCGGCGCCCGGGTTTCCTCCGCCTGCGATCGGCACGGGTGGTCGTCGCACGCGCGTCTCTCGGACGCGGTGCGAGCGGCACGCACGGCTCGCTTTCCTCCCCGAGGATACCGGGTCGCCCGGGGACGGACTCCGTCGCGTGCTTCTCGAGTTTCTCTTCGAAGCTCTGGCGAATCCGATCGAGATTTCTCTTTTCTCGTTTCGCCTTCGCTTTTGTGGAACGTCGCGAGAGTCGATAGAAACCGGAGGGAACGAAAGCTCGTGGAAAGTCGGTGCTTCCGCACGCCGGATCGTTCTCTCTCCCCCTCTCGCAGACGACATCCCCGTTCTCTCTTGCAGACGACATCGTGGCGTTGGACAAGCCGTACGGGATCTCCACGCAAGGAGGCGACGGGAGAAGCGAGAAGACGTGCCTCTTCTCGCATCTCCCGGCCCTGGCCCGCCGCGTGGAGTCGAAGACGCTGTTCATCGTTCACCGACTGGACAAGGGCACGACGGGGGTGCAGGTGCTGGCGAAGACGCCCCAGGTCGCACGGCGGCTCCGCGCTTACTTTGCGCAGCGCCGCGCGGTCAAGATCTACTGGGCCATCACCAAGAGGGTGCCGAACCCGCCGGAAGGTACGGACCTCGTCTCTTTTCCCGCTCTCGTTCTCCGCTCGCGTCGCGCTTGCAAATTTCATCCGTAGAACGAGTCCGGTTCGGAGTCTCGTGTCGTCTTGGAATCGTAAGGAATTTCGGCTTCGGTGCGTCGTTCGCGATGGAAGAAAAAGGGGGAGAAAAATAAGGAAAAATGACCAGATGCGATTTTCCGAACCTTCGTCGAGACGGTGGAATGAAAAAGGATCGTTTCGCGGTTGCAGGAATAATCGATATCCCGATCGGAGAGGGAAAACTGGGGAACGCGAGGAGGATGGTCCTCCGTCCCGTGGATGACCCGACCGGAGCATCGCGGCACAAATCCTCCCAACCCGCCAGGACTTATTACAAGGTACCGGCACGTTTTCTGTTTCGTATCTCCTCCTTTCGTCCAGTGTGTTTCTGCGTTTTCCGCACCATTTTCCTCTCCCATTCCTTTGGGAAATTGCTTTCATTGCGATCTGCATCTCGCTTCTTTTTTTTTTGCATTCTATCTGTCCGCGTTTGCCATAGAAACCTATCGTGCGAGCGATGAAATATACCTGTATATTGTGCATAAAATATAAAAGTATGTTGCTACGTCTTGAGAAGTACAGGAATTGGACCGTAAATCGGTGGAAAGAATTTGAGTAAGAAATGGCGTGCTCCAATTCCTTCCACTGGTTTACGATTTACGGTTTGCTCAAATTCCTTTTGCTCTTACTTGGATCTCGGATTTTTTTGAGGTCGCGTCGGTGGCTAATAACTCGGCCAGAAAACTTGTAATGATGCTGACATTTCCGTATCTGATGAGTCGGAGTGCGTGCGAAAAACGGTAGGTTGTCGTCTAAATAGTGTGATTCACTGTCGACGATCGTCTCTGCTTCTCCCATTTCGTCCCCGAACGAGATTCTTCGTCGACACCGGGATCCAGACGTGACGTGGAATCTTTCCCGCTTTACGTTCCATCCGCGAACGCACGAGGAGAAAACGTTTGGATTCTCTAGGGCAGGGCTTCCCGACCGAGAGGTCGTGACCCCATTTGGTGTCGCCAAGATCATATTTGGGGTCGCGAACCGGCAACTAAATGTCAAGTTATGTATTTGCGATTTTAGCGCATAGGTGGGGGAGCCTGTCGAACTTCGGCCAGTGCTTGGGGTCCAGAATGGTATGATCGTGATTTTTGGGGTCACGCGAGGAAAAAGGTTGGGAAGGGGTTGGAACATCAATCACTGGAATGAATCCCTTCTGTTGGGGAGAGAAGAGATCATGGTTGACAACCCACTGAATCAGTCTGCCAGATCAAGAACAGCTCTACGACTGCAATATACACACGACGAAGGAGGCTGCCGAACGCAGCACCAGCGACTTGCAACATCAGGAATCAACTGCTGTACCAACAAGAGAACACCAAAGAGGATCGAATACCAAACATGATGCCCGTGAGGCATCCAGATTGCAAAAGTTGTACAATATGTTTTATGAACGAAGAGCCATCCTGGAGGTCCTTGAGCCCAACGCCCCTAGATATACTGGCAGTGCTGGCCATCGTTAGGTCTGTAAAAATTGTATTACAAAGGCAAAAACACTGAACGACGAAAGAGTGGAAGCGTTGATACTAGAAACGCTCCTTCACATACATAATCCTGGAAACCACAAACCACGCATCACCCCAGAGGAAGTCAACTGAAGACACGGTAGGAAAGCCAATACCGCTGCGGGGTCTGATGCGATGGAGCACATTCGAATTTAATCTAATGTTGTACTTTCAATGGAAGAGGTCATGGTCGTGGCTATCACATCCACGTGCAGGGCCTACGATGCAATGCCATTTTGGGTCATAGGCCAGGCCTACCAAGCCATTCACATACTTTAACTTGAAGAGCCCGAGGGTTGTGGTGGTTGTCACCCCACCGCGCGTGGCCTACGAGACTGTCACTTAATGCCATAGGCTAGGCCATCCACCCCTCAAAGCCCCAGGTCCTTGAGGCTATGCAAATTGTAGACATCGGCTTGGCCATCCAACGCTTTTAGCGCCAGGTCCATCGAGCTATATCAGTCTGAGCCATAGGCTTCATATTTAGCTGTGTCAATCAAAGGGTGCTACTAACTGAATGCGTGTCACGTTTTCACCGATCGACTACAAGTTCTCCATTTTAATAGTAATAATAATGCTGAAGTGTTTTTATTTATTTATTTATTTTTCCCGTAAGGTCAGGCATGGCGGTTCGGGACATCACTTCCATGCAATAGTTTGCGTTTCATGTCATGGGCGATTTATTTGAGTTCTCATGATTGATGAAATCAAATAACGTAAGTTCTTTGTTTCATACGTCGCGCAAACGGGCCACTCCTCCCATCAAAATTGTGGCGATTTTTGCGCGGTGGGGTCGAACGTGAAAAAAAAATGTCGAAAGAGGCCCCACAGGACGGCGATATGCCAGTCACTGCAGATAATAAACGATTGGTGTTGGCCACTGCAGTTGAGGTGCTAGCCATAATGACTGATGAACGGTACCCTGTTGCACGTTGGGAGCGTGAGGCTGAACAGCAAGAGGCAGCGAATGCTGAGCTCAGGAATAGGAGAGCCATGCAGCCTGCTGGGCAACTTGATGCAAGTTGCGCAATGAACGCAGCACTCAGGTGTCGAAAGCCGTGGAATTGAACCCGGACCTCCTGGTTGCCGGTTAGGTGTGCTACCATTACACCAGAACCATTACACCATTACACCACGGAATTCGGGACGCGTTGTCAGGCCTCTCCAAGTCATCTCGAATCACTACAGTCGTTTGTGCAGCGGGCATTGTCAGGTTGTACATTTTGATGTAGGGAGGAGGCATTTGTTTCACAACGGAAAAATGCTCCTGCTGCAACTCGCACTTTAGCACCAGTGAGCAACACTTTCAGAGCCTCAGGGTAATGTGGCGGCGAGGCATTTTCTCGAATTAGTCGCTAGCATTGTGCCGCACATGCACTAAAGTCCCTCTGTGCCTTCGAACAAGTTCTTGGATATGGTCCGTACTATTTCAGAATCTTTGGTGTCTGTATTATATGCTAACGCTAATAGCACATGAGCTAATCGGTGATGCAAGAGTATTGAATGTGCTAGGGAGACGAAATCAGCAAAGTCATCTTCAGTCTCATGAAAACGTGCTAAACCGCAATGGCGACTGCGGCAATCAGCTGGAATTTCATGATGATGGTGTTTAGGAACAGAATCTCCCTGTCTACTCTGCTACATGTGTATAAATGTCATGAAGCGGTTCGGGTCCGAATGGGTAATGCCATTAACAGAGGATTGTCAAGGAGACGTTATGCTCGCAATAGACGGTTCAAATTTCCACCTGTTATACGGCCAGCCGATAGTACCCCTATAAAATACGATCCATACGGAAAGGAAAAACTTCCCGTATCAAGCAGAAAATACACGCTATAAGATAATATATCGATCCGCTCATTCACATACTCCATGAAATCCCCCTATGTGGAATAGTGAAAAAAGACGAGGAATAGTTGATGAGGGTAGCCTCTGAAGTCACATGGCGCATAACGGTAGCCCTTACTTCTTTTCAAGTAAAAAATTCCCCGCCAAGTCGCCAGATTGGCGGCGGCGGCGGCTTCCCTTTGCATACCTGACCCGGGTGGGGAGAACTCTCTTTCATACACTCAGGATCGTCGTGTTTTCAGTTTAAGTTTCATTTCAGTTTCATCGTGCCTGCAACGAATAAAATGGACGACTTTCACCGCCAGAGCGTTACTAGAGCGCAATTCGTTGCGAGCGGGGGAACGTATGAACTTTGCGATGCGCGTCTGGATAGCATGCTCCTTAGTGCTCCATGCATTGTTGCAGGCATTGTCAGTATTTCGGTCATTGGCCAATAATTGACGTGGGTCGTTTTCTGCGTTAAAAGGAAAGAATTGACATTCCTCTTCCATGCAATGATGGGATGACTATGCATGCGTATATATTGTTACGGTAAGACTATTTCGTGTCATAGTCCGTTGTGGGATCCGGGTGGAAATAAGATCACAAGGTGACAACAAAACAGGTGTTCTTATTTCCTTCTCACTCGTCCACTAGCAAGATCAATTCTTCTGCCGGATCCGAAGGCGCTGCGGAGTCCTGGTGTCCGGGGACCGGCTTCGCTCGGGATCTCCCCCTAAGGGGTTCCACTCGACCGTCGTAGATGCATCTGTGTTCTCCACACGAACTGCGGTAGTGAGAGGGATGAGCGGTTGCGTCCCACGGAGAATGCCTGCTCTTCTTCCAGGAGAAGAAAAGGCATTCTCCTCTGCTTCTGTGGACCGTCACCGGACCGCCACAGGGGTTCTCTGACCGTACTCTTAGAGCGCTAGGGTCAAGCCGGTTTTTCGGGTCGGCATCGTTTAGGGCCTTGGTCGAGCCTGACTCGTTGGGTGGTACCTTTTCGTACAGAATTTAGATAGAGCCTATCTTTCGGATACAGGATGGCAACGGGAAAGGAGCTATTTAGAACTTAAGTCCTTCCCTCTTCGTCCCGCCTTCCCCGGAGGTTCTTTCCAGGACTGGCTCGCGAGCAGCCGTGATGCGGCCGTTCGTCCTCGCTGTTGACTTCTCAGCATGTTGGGTTGGAAGGCATGCCGTACTTCCTTACTTCTTAGCATATAGCTCTAAAAATAACTCTGTATAACTGTTATATCGGGACCAGCGCATATAATTTAATCCATTACATATCCTGAATAGGAAACACTGGGCCTCACTAGTGACACCTAGTGGCAGAGGCTGTAAATGAAGGTCAGGGGTCAATCACCCCAAACGGTGTTCTCTATTCCCTTACCGTGACAATATGAATAAGAAATTAATCTAAAATGGACGCGATCATATTTCACGACTACAGTGCGCCTCGCGATGACATCCCATCGGGTGCATGGTGTCGCGAATGCTGCCGAAATTCGTAAGCGCTATACAGGGAGGCAGTCCGAATCGCATACTTTGAGACTGCTTTGTTTGAAAGCCGAAAATGGTGCATGTGCAGGACCAGCTTTGGGAAAACTTACAAATACATGCAATTATTATCATGAACAAGCTGGGTTACCTGGCGTTGCCCGGGATATTTTTTAGGAGCGATATAGCTGTTGTTCTTTTATGTGCTTTTTTGTTAGTGCTTCCTTGTCTAAGTCCGGCCAGACCGACGGGGACGGGAGCACTGCTCTGGCCATTTTATTTTCATTTGTTTTTTCTTATTTTTTTAAAAGTTTTTCTAAATTAATTCTTAACTCAAAGGGGCTCTTCCTTCACAAAAATCTAACTTAAATGAGTTTCTCAATGATATTCTTATTTCATAGGAAAAACTAAACTCCATTTTCTCACACATATTCTTACTGCACTGAAAAAAATCTAAATTCTAAAATTCTAAATTCTAAAGTGTCTCAATCATTCACTGCAATGCTTGTGGGTAAACCACATTGGTGGTTTTCGAATTGGGG